CAATATCAAGGCGCACGCCACAAATCGGAGGAGAAGCTCGGCCAAACACTAACATATGTGTAAGCGCCAATCAATTATTATTATACACTACGTATAATGGAAATATTCAACTAAAGTACGCCCTATTAAAATGAAGCATTTTTCACTACACGGATGGCGTTTTGAACGTCTCGGATGCTTTCTCATATGTAATTAAGAAAGTATATGTATACAAAGCATGCACAGCGTTGGTTTATCAGATGTATCTCAGACCAATTATGACAGCACTGACAGAGACGAAAAAGCAAGCACTTGTGTGAAATGCCTGAAAGCAATGTAGTTACCTATAAATTCGTCCAGAAATGCTGGCCGAATCCTCTTTATTTTATTGTTTTGTTTGCAGTTCAGATATTTGGTGTAAGAAAAGCCATATAATTTAATAATTTATCAGCATCGTGAAACCCCAAACAGTAGAAATAGCAAATCGTCCACCTTGAGCCAAGCGGAGCCATGCCGCTGTGAATACGAAATGTGAGAATGGTTGAGGGCCAGCTGCTGGCTGTCACCTTAAATTTGTTTGTCCTCCGAACTGGGATTTGTCTTTTTGGTCCGCTTTCAACTTATGCATGCAGCCTCTTAAATTTATTTAAAAAGAAAAATCGAAAACCCGAAGCTTGGAAGTCAAAAAGTTGATCCTTCGGAGCTGGGCGGAATACGTACTTGCAACATAACTTCGACACGGCGAAAGTGTTAATGAGTTTTAATTATTAAGCGGAATAGTGGGGTAAAATAGTAGCTGCTCTTAGTCCTTTCTTCGGCTATATACATATGTATGTATGTACTGCGCACTACTATTTAAAGAGTGCAAGGCATGTTGCTCGGGGAAGTAACAAGAGTTCCATTTCTGCTGGTTGCTCGTTGGTTGGTGTGAGTAGCAGTTACCGGACTTGGCCAAGTGCTTAGTAAGTTTAGCTACGTAAAATAGTTAACACTGATTGCTTGTTACAAGCAATTTTTCGCATGTTATCACCGATCACTAGGGCAGCAACTTTTGCAGAAACGAGTGCTTATCGCAACAGCAATGCAACTGGCAACGTGCAACGACAGCTCTAATAACACGCGACTGTATTTGCAGCTGCTTCTAAGTGCTTTAAGCTTATGATATTTATTCCTTTCCTTGCATACTACTGTTCTATTTTTTATTTATTTATGTTTTCTTGCTTGTACCCTTCGAATTTATTTCGTACTGTTGCAAATAATTTAGAAGCAAGTTTCCTGGAGCACTGCTGCAAGTCTGACGTTTTAGTTTCCTTATATCTTGCATTTAGGAAAGATATTCGGGCTGTTCCGTAAAAATATATTATTCAAGAGCAATTTGTTATCGAAATTGTTGTTATGTTCAGCGGAGGTGAAGCGCTTGGAGAGTTTGAAAATCAAACGCCTTGGTCGTAATTTTAAGCTTCCAGAAAATGTAGAAGTATTTGGCAAAAATACTTGTAGTTTTTAGTGAGGGCAAATATGTTAGTTAGAATTTGGGACAATACTCGTACATATGAATGCAACCTTGCACCTTTATTTAACTGGCAAGACGTATTTGAATTATAAACTAAGATGTGTACTTGATAGAAGATGTAGGATTCCGTCAAATGGACAAAATATGTGATTAAAGACTGCTGTGGCGAGGTAGTTAAAGGTGTGTACTACCACATATCGATTCCTGGTCCAAGCAACATGTGACTAGTGTTTTCGGCAGGCAACGGCAAACCTCCTAGTGTATTTCTGTGGTCACAAGCAATAACCGCCTAAGTTGACTTAAGAAAGAATGGATTTATATATGCTATCGTATTCTTCAACCACTATCCCATGCGTATGTGAAATCCCAATCTCGCCAGCTAGGCTACTTAAAAAGTTATAGGCGAAAATATTTTGGTTTCCCCATAAGGTTAATATTGAAATTCAAATGTTTAAAATGTTTTTTTTGTCGAATTCAGGTTTTTCGACTTGGCAGTTATTGCCTATGACCATAGATGAAGCTCGGCCAAATACTTAGCAGAAGTGTATGCGCCAAAATATTATTATAAATCGCCAAAATATTATAACATATCGTTTGAAGTACAAAACCGCGTATCAACAAAATTCCAGACCGCGCATGTGAGGTTGCACAAATTTTTTTCTAGAGAGAAAAAACACTCACTAGACGGCGGCCGCTGTGGTGTATTGGTAAGAAAAGGTTTTTTCTTAACAACGGTCGCTCCTCGGCAGGCAATGGCAAACCTCAGAGTGTATTTCTACCATGAAAAACAGCTCATCATTAAAATACAATCGCCGTTCGGAGTCGGCGTAAAACTGTAGGTCCCTCGTCTTTGTGTTACAACATCAAGGTGCATGCCACAATTCGGAGGGGAAGCTCAGCCAAACACTGACATATGTGTAAACGCAAATCTATTATTTTTAAAAGCACTCAAAGCAAAGCAAACGCATTTCTGGCTGGTATATCTCAGGTCGAATGGATAACGATTGAGTCAAGAGCTTATTGGCAGCAAATGTCACTTAAGACTGCTTTTCACTATGTTATATTTTGACGCCAAAATTTGGCGACGCATTTTGACACAGCTTTATCTCCTTTATCTATACCTTTACCGATGATATTATGGGTCAAAAACAGACAGATAGCCGATTTAGCAGCGAATGTAACCGACTAAAGACCTGTCCTGATCCAAATCAATCGATAAACCGCTTTTTAAACCCATTTGACAATGTGTTTTCCCTTATTTAACGACAAATGCCACTGAATTTGACATAGTGAAAATCAGCCTTTAGGCGGTTTTGCAAAATGACGATACGCAGTTTTTTACTTTAAACGACGATATTTATGTGCATATATAAGTATTAATTTGTCGCTTAGATTTGTTGTGAGCGTTTTCTCGAGTTTCTCCCGCAATCCGTGGTGGGTTTGTTGGTAGTAGGTTTGTTCATCGAAAATCCCGAAAGAATCATCCATCACTCAAAATACCAGAGAATATATTTCAAGCAGAGCATATTTCAAGCAAAGGTCTACGCCATCTATTTGTGTGCGGAGACAATCTTAAATAGAGGTTACAGCTATGAGAGAATCATACTTCTAACTGAAAGTTAGGCGCCACTCAAGGCTATTTTATCTTTTAAAATCAAGTCATCCCTGGTCATTGAGTGCATAGAGAGGCTCAACTCCCTTTTTCTTCGTCTTTTTTGGCGCTGTAAGCGCCTAAGCGATTTTTTCCGAGTTCAGCGAAGCACGCCAGGCGTTTCTCCTCTATGCCAACTGACGTCAATTGGAAACGCCAAGTGAAGCCAAGTCCTACTCCACCTGGTCTTTCCATCGGAGTGGGGGCCTCCCTCTTCCTCTGCTACCACCAGCTCGTTCCGAGTTGAATAGTTTCAGAGCTGGAGCATCGGTGTCCATTCGAACGACATGGCCAAGCCAGCGGAGCCGCTGTATTATAATTCGCTGCACTATGTCCATGTCGTTGTAAAGCTCATACAGCTCATCGCTCCATCGTCTGCGGTACACTCCAAGAGCCGCCTCATCGGATGTTGTCATTGTCCATGCTTCTGCGCCATATACCAGCACGGGAATGATGAGTGACTTATAGAGCGTGGTTTTTGTACGTCGAAAGAGGACTTTACTCCTGAATTGCCTACTCAGTCCAAAGTAGCACTTGTTGGCAAGAGTGATTCTGCGTTGGATTTCAATGTTCTTTTGGGCTCGCTAAAATCCGACTACTGCTCGCATATGGCATTTTATTGAAGAGTAATCTCTGAGAGTTTGTGTGAGGTTCGATTGGCGAATGCACTGGCCGCCTGTTGTGCTTGATTTCGGCGATAATCTTTCTTACTTCATTGGATGCACATTTTTTTCCACACAGAGGTTTGTTCGTATCTTGTTGCATTAAAGTGGTCCGAGTCTATATTTGGCCTTCGGAGCGTATTCGCATCTAAAGCGCTGACAGCATGATCCATTTAAGATTCATAAATGATCGCTTTCGGGCTTACTGTGTTCTTAAATTAAATTAAAGATCTAAGTGAAATTTACTTGTCATATGAATACTTGGAAATGAGAATTGAACAAAATTTTTTTTTTAACCGTTTTTTTAAGTTGTTGGTCATATTTCTTCAGTTATCAAAAACCTGGGCTCAACTGGCGCAAT